GCTGTTTCCCGTCCTTCCGCGCAGTTGGATCCGCCCTGCGGGGCGCGAGAGCCAACACCTTAGACTTTGAGGAGCAGAACCATGCAGGTTGGGAGAAGCCGAGAAGACGGCAGTTTGACACCCAAATTAGCTTGCAGCCAACCTGGTGGATGCAGGCCTTTTGATGAATTGCGATGAATTGCGGAGTGTAGAGGATCTTCTCGGAGGGAAGCCTTTCTATTGGTCTGTTGAGAAGTGAAAGATTTGGAGGAAAATCCTAGGGCACGGGGCTTGATTCTTGATGCTCGCAGAACATTGCGAGATGCCGTGTCTATGGTTTGACAGCTCTTCCGACAGCTGTCGGCGTGTTTCGTCTCGTTCTATCTCTCTGCTGCGTTTCTCGGCGTGCAGCAGAACTTCCGCCCCAACTCTACCGCAAGATTCTTCAGTGTTTGATGCTGCTGTTTCTTTCATGGCATTTGCACCAGAACCGGATCCGACCGCCTAGATTTGACCCTCGTCGCAGAGATTCGATAGTGTTTTTGCCTTTTTGTCTCACCCAGGAGACAAGCAAGAACTCTTGTCATGTTCAAACACCTGCCACAGCATTGCCCCGCTTTTCTGTGCTTTTGTTCTTTTTTCTTGCAACTAAAATTCTGACCTTTGGCAGGCCGACTGGTCTTCGGTGCTTCTGCACTGATACTCCTTGCGAAAGCGGCCAGCATGCAAAGGACCACTAATCCATGCAAGGGTTCCATGGCCGAAGTTCTGTAGCTTCGTTTTGAGAACCTCACACCCCAAGGCAAAGGCTGTTCCGTGCTGTCTACAACTGGCCACAAATAGCCAATAGGACTTAAGATGTTCTTTGCAGGACCTATTGGGCCATCTGGCAGTGCTTGTATGGGCATGGGTCAGAATGCTTGAAGCATACCTTTGCTAAAGTTTTGTTTGGACTTGCTGTAGTTTAAACTTGATCAAACTTCCATGAAGGACCAACAGCTCTTTTGGGGTACGATAGACAATCAATCCACTTGAGCTGTACACAAGCTTGCAAGGCTGATAGTAGTATTTCATCTATATACTGTATCCTCTTACTGGGCTTTGGTCAGAGGACCATTCTTGGAAACGCCGGGGTTTTCTTTGCGATTTTCACCTGCTGCTTTCGTGAAGCGTTGGACACCGAAAGGAGACCTCGCAGTCTTCGTACCGTCCTGCAGGCCAGTGCTTCGGGCAAACGGAGTGCCACTGGTCGACGTCGAAGCACGACCGGTGGTAGTGGATGAAACGGTGTGGATTAGGGAGACCTCCCAGGCAAGGACCTGGAAGAAGGGAAAATTGTGGAAAAACCCTTGTCTTGGGGGTCTCCCGATCCAAGAACTTCAGAGGGGATCTACGTGTTGTCATGAAAGCCCTGGAAACGCACGCAGGTTGTTTTCCCATGTTTTCTCGTTGGTTCCGACGGGTCAGGAGTTTTCTTTGTCGTGAGGCTGAGGCTGAGGGGAAGACGCCCTTGGAGGATCTCAGTGTCGGTGAAGAGCCCGAGCGCCTGGGGAGTGGCCGGTGTGTTTTCGTGGCCCTCGATGGGTCGGCGATGCAGGCAAAAGCGACCGTGGAAGGACCAGTAGCGCTTCCAGAAATATTAACCTAGAAGAAGCGGCAGCAACTGCAAATCGAGGAGTGGGCTACGGTCTTATCTTCTTTTAACAGTAGTACAGTCTATAGATTCTATAGATAGAGAAAGTAGGTGGATATCAGGGGGTTCGCTCCTTTCGAAAGAGGCTAATTTGGCTAATTTCTTCCGGAGACCAGGGCCTCCAAGAGAGACCCTTGCCTTACTTTTTGACGGAGTTGGGTGATGATGACTATATAAGAAGGGGTTGGTTGATGGTATGAGTTCAAACAATCTCATTTCACTAGGGAAAGCTCCTTTGAACTGTTCTAACAGCTAAGGAGAAGTGGCACAGTGACCAGAGTGGCGAAGATTGGCCTCTACATCGATATTGGCGCGGAGAAGGCCACGTCGTTTGTGCTTGGTGTCCTTCTCGCCACCACTTCGTATCAACACGAACCAAAGCTTCTTGATCTTGTCCTCTCGACACCAAGTCCGTCACAGTGGCTTGAAAAGCCGCCCAAGGATGCCTTGCTTCCGCAAAACATGGTTCCCAAGGCCCGGTGCAAAGATTTGTTGAATTTATTGTGGAATTTCTTGTAAGCAAAAGGAGGAGAGTGCTGCTTGCGAAGCTGAGGATAAGGAATACAAAGCGGGAGATGAGATCACGGGGCTGAAGATCTTCGAGGCGGCGAGTTGACGAATGGTCGAGCCTCATGTCTTCTCGTCCCTGTGGTGTGCATGAGTTCGGCTCATCTTCTGGCTGTTGGTTTCCCAAGATGTGGTAGGAACCTGAGTGTGGAGGCGTACGAACGACCACCAACGGCCCTTCCCCCGTGACCAGCAACCTGGTCTCCATCCCTCCGGTCTTGCGAGGTCTCCACCGGCGACGACCCCGCCTCACGCAAGATCAGGCGTCGCCGAACGTCCCCGAAGCTCGTGAAACACCGGGTCCGTGTTTCTTCGCTTCGGTGGATTTTCACGGGGAAGACGGAGAGAGAGGAACCGTGTCCACCGGAGAAGCGGAAGTTTTGGTGGTGGGACGATTGCAAGTTCATTGGCCGAGCGGAAGTATGGAATGAAAGAATCAACCGCCCACCCAAAGCGGCATCCGGATTTTTCATCTATCCCTTTCGCCCGTCCAAGCAGCTAAATCGTGCTTTGGTGATGACTCGATGACTCCCTTCCCACTTCACCCGGGAACTGCCAGGGTGACGCTTTCGGAGCTGCCTCAGTCCAAAGCGGTGGGTGACAAGGAGGGTGGCGCGCGGCTCTCGCCAGTGGGAATGCGCCGCATGTGAGGTTTGTTTGTCTATGCCTGTCTCTGTCTCCGAATCAGGTGAAGGTGCCCCTCCCTGGGTGGGCTTTAGGCCGTCTATTACTGAGTCCAGACTTGTACCTTTCTCGTAGTGGTGTCTGACGTGGTGTCTCTTTTTGGAACACCGAAGCCGAAAGGCCCGGCACCATGGAAGGACCTTTGGTGTTCGGTTCACGTGCTTCACCTGCGGACCCAGGCGATTTCTTTTAACTGACTGGTGGATTCAAATGCCCGCCGGCACCCGCGGCACTCATCGTCGTCCATCAATCGGATAACTCACTCCCAAATGGTGGAATCCAACTGAAGCCAGCCCTCATCCAAGTTAGAGCCTCTGATTGCACCCAGCTGTGACCCCTTGCCCTTGACCCTCCGGTTTCTGCCTTTACGACGATGTCGCCCCGCCCCGCTGAACACCCCCCGGTGGCCGAGAATTCCTCCCCTCCAGTCCGAAGTCGAGATTTTCCACCCACCCGCCAGGTGACGGGAAAGGTGCGCGCCGTCCAAACCTACGGCGTGTTCTTTGACATTGGCCTCCCGAGGCCGGCGCCTCCTTTTTTCGGTCGCCCCACCCCCCGGCCCCGACTCTGCCTGGTCAGTCCACGCCGTGGGGGGCCAAGCGGATCGGTCCGCAGAACTGCTTTGGGTGGACAGGGATTTCAAGTGACGTGTTACAAGAAAATTCATGCAGTTCCAGAGTGGGGGGAATATCATCCGTTGATTTCTTGATGGTAGACATCCACCAAATGTGCACTGGGGGACCAAGCTCACCCGTTTCGATGGCTCCATTGGCATCGGCCAGCGCTCCAGGGATGCCTTGGCACCTTCGGCGAGGCTCACGAAGAAACCCTCTGATTATAAGAGGGATGAGGAGAGGAGTTGGCGCTTCAACAAATTGGGCCCATGGACTGGACCGGCAGCTCAGGTTTGTGTTCTTTTGGCTTCTATTTGCTTCACGGATCTTGGGGTTCTAACCCAATTATATAACACCTTGGCCACAGCAATGTTGCTTTCAGAATCTTCCAGCGCAGTAAGAGAGACATGTTGCCAGCGGCAACTTTGAAGGCGGATACATTGCAACAAAAGAAATGCAATTCTCCAGTGTTGCCAGACACATTGCAGGGAGACAATTGGTAGCCTTTGTGAAGATATGTGAAGATTCGATGCCGATTCGATGATTTTCTGTATTTTCACGTATTGTCTATATATCTCCTCTGAAGGAGGTAGAGCTGGAAATCGTGAGCATCGACGGTGACAAGGCACCGGTCCTGTGGAAGGATGTAAGATTGACACTCTTTGGGATGCAAGAGTAGCAAAAGCGTGAGCGAGGTCACCTCTATGTGCAAATGCAAAGCATCAAAATTCTAGAAGACCGAGCCTCATCTTCCAAGAGAGGGACTTCCACTTCTAATCTTCCCATGTGACTTCTGAGTTTGGAGGATTCAACATGGTCCAAAAGAGCCCTCACAAGGGTTGCCTTTTCGGTCTCTCCACGATCCAGCATGCGATCCTCTTCGAGCTCCCGCATACGATCCCAGTCCTTGAGGACCATCCACTATCCACTGGTGTTTCCACGAGACCTCTCGTGGTGTCCCGAAAAGAAGCAGGACGTGCCGGACGTGGACCAGGGGCCCCCAACCAAGTGAGCGATGTCTCGCCAGGTGACTGTGGGTGTGGTGGGCGTGGTCGTGAAAGCTCCAGCCCCTTCTTCCAGCTTCACGGTCGGCCAGACAGTCACAGGCGCACCGGCAGCAAGTGCTGATGGCATGTAAGGACCATTGAGTACAGGACAAACATGCCGAATCTACCAACATCCGTCACGAGCCATGGGTGTGATAGATATGATGATTTTGTCAGATCAACTCAGTATCGGCACAATATGAAGAATTTGGATGTGACTCTTGCAGCCGAAAAAAGACTGACACAAGCCACTGAGGCACTGTGGCACGGGTCAACCAGCAGTGCGCCGCTCAAGTTGGGCATTGCTGCTCAGGAGTCGTGTTTTTGCTCCCTTATAAGTGAAATCTGTTTTCGAGTCTTCTTCAATTTAAGCGGGTCTGCAGAATAACGACACCGGTTTTGCTTGATCGTTCATAGGTACGGTGTTTTCTTCGACATTGGCGGAGAACGAGATGCCCTGTGCTTCACAGCCCAGCTAGATGACGAGCTCTCCAACTACAAGGCGCCCGCAAGCAATTTCATTAGAAACAGAAACCGCTTTTTGGAGCCCCACACACCGCCAGCCTCGTCCGCCGTCCCAGCACGTCCCGCTTTGGCCATGCTGCAGGAGGGGCAGAAGGTCCAAGGCCTTCGCATTGCAAAGATTGATGGTGAGAAGATTGAAGTCACCACGCGGCCTTTGTCGCAGCTCAGATGCAATTTTTTTCGGGCGGTACGGCGGTACTGAGCCGGAGCTAATGAGCTGACTCGAGTTCAATTACACCGAATAACCGTCTTAGAGGCAGCACAGCACCTGTTTCGGTGTTCCCAACAGACGACTTCACCTTCAGATCAAAAGGACCGAAGGAGTAAATGAGGGAGGTTAGGCACCGAAACGTTCTGGACATCCCACCAGGTCGAACTGAACCCCAACGACTCCAACTCGACTGGGCGTGACTGGTCGGGTTGGGTGGAACTCCACTCCTTCGGATCCTGCAGACATCGAGTCCTTCGCGTCTGAGGTCCGAGGCCAAGGTGGGGCAGGAGGTCAAGGGGATGGTGCTGACCAAGCTGCAGGCTCTGTCGGGTACCGTGAACGGCATGGGTGGGGAACAATGGATAGTTCGTTTGCTGGAACATGCTCGAAGAGTCCACCGTCCAACGCTAATGATATCTACTGATTGAGCCATTTGGATGGACTTGTCCCGTCCAAGAGAGAAGTCGGGCGCTGGGTGTGCGCTGGGTGTAGCAGAAATTCTGTCTATCAGCTTTGCTGTAAGTGTTTCAGACGGAGGTCTCCAGGAAACCAAGGGCAGTCGTCAGACCTGAAGGAATGGAGATTCAACTTCCCCTTCGGCTTGGGATGAAGGAAGATCAGAACAGTCAGCTGCCTAGTTGGTACATATTTTTTTCATCCATGTGATGACGAATGCCAAGCCATTTGTGGGCTGAGCAGGCTCCGGGTGTTGCGTTTTTAGTGGGGCTTTCCTTGTGCTCACCTGCTGGTACGGGCCGCCGGTGCTCGTGCTCGCAGAACGGCGCGGGGATCTTCTTCGACGCTGGATTCAGCAGTGATGTTTTGGCACCCGCACCACTCCTGAGCCCGACGCTCAGGATACAGCAGTGACTTACTGGACGAGTGGGGGGTTAGGTGGCCGCTTTGTTCGATTTGGTTGGATTTAGATGCGCACGAGGGTCTCAGCATCTCAAGAGGCAGGAGGAGTCTTGTGAGCTCCCTCGCCACATTTGTGATGAGAATCCTGTAGGAGCTTTAAAAGAGAACTGCGGTTTGGTTGCATTTGGAGGCATCGCCTTGGATTTGAGCATTGAAGGCTGAAAGTAGAAAGGTTCAATGGACTTTTCGAACTCACCACCAGCCTGGGCCTCTACTTGTGGAGCTTGTGGAGCTAGTCAGATACTAGTCCAGTAGATGAAGGTAGGATGACTATACCTGATGGGTCCAGGCGGGTCTGTCTGTCTATGTATGTTTCATTTGGCCTTGGGGTTGCGCTTGACCTGCTCTTCCGATTGGATCAGAACCGCAAAACAGCCTTCGCTGTAGCTCGTTGTGACCCGAGGCAAGAGCGCCGACGAGTACGCACCGCAGCAAGCTGGCGTCCCAGTCGCAGCTTTTCTTTGAGCCCCCGAAGATGGGTGAGACTGTGGAAACCAAATCCACCGGCGCTGGAATTAACATAAATGGCAGGATCATGTTGGCAGTGCCGAGCACAGTTCCCTCGTTCGATGGCGTGTTTGGGTGAAAGACCACTCCCTACAAGTTCAGTCTGACCCCGTAAAAACCTGGTCCTTTACTATAGTGAACCATGGTTCTGTATGACCAAGTCCAGTAGAACGAGATCCTTGACCTCTAGGGACTAGTTGAAGAGCTGATCCTTAAACCCTGCGTGCTGCATGCCACAGGAAGTGGACTTAGTGATCACGGAAGTCGACGGCGACCGCGTCACAGTGTCAGACATGAACTTGGAGGAGAGATCCGGCGGAGAAGCGAGGAGAGACGTTTTGTAGTTTTCTTTTCTTCTCCCTTTCTTTCTGCTGTGAGGATGGAGCAAATCCAAAAAACAACCTGAAAACAACTGATCATCGGATGATGGGGGAATTTTTCGTTGGAAAGCTTTTGAAGTCTCAGACTCTCAGAGCTCATCACATAAGGTGCTTTTTGTAGGGTTGGACTGGTGGAGGAGGATGGTCCAAGTGAGACGGGTGTTCGGTTTCATCCAGGATGTTTTTATTATTATATAGTTCTTTTTGCTTCTCAACCATTCTTCTGGTGCGGAAAAACAAGTGGTTTTGGGGTTCCAGAATCGATTCCTTTGCATGTCCTTCGTGCCGGGGATGTTCGTGGTATGGACCCCTGGATCGCCCTGAATTTCCCTGGATGGCACTGGATCCACAGAGACACGGCTGACCCCTCCTGGGCCCGGCCTCAACAGGAAGCTCCTCTGGTCCTCCCCGATCTCCAGCACTAGCTACTAGCTTGTGCGAACACTGAAGGACATTCCCAAGAGGCTGAGCACCTACATCCGTGGCCAAGAAGTCACTGGCAAGGCCAGTCGCGAGACGCGGGGTCGCGAGATACGGTCGCAGCGAGAGCGAGGCAGCCCTCGGGCGGCGGCGTCAGGTGATCCGGGCCACGGAGTTCGGGGTTCTGGTGAACATCGGCGCCGACAAGGTGCCGGGGGTGGGGGGGGGGGTGGTGGCGGGGCGGTTTTGGCGGGGGGGGGGGGCGGAAATCCATGGGAAGCCACAAATTTGCCCGAGCTTTGTGGAGATTGCACCCACCAGTTCGGGAGGGTTCAGACTGTTCTTGTCGGCTGTGTGTTCTCACACTCCGCTGGTCACGGTGCAGACACCGATGAGTGCACGAGTGCGGACCGAATCGTTCGTGTTGTTCAACCCCATGATGTTGACTATAGTGACTGTATAGGGCAGGGTTGGAGCATTTTTGTCGCGTTATATAATATAGTTGGAGTGCTCAATGTTAGGTTTTTTCCATATTTTTCTCAGGTCAGGTGGCCGGTGGGGGATGTGATGAGTTCCATGGTGAGTCCGACTCCGTGCTCAGCCCGCCCTGTGGCGCTCACGGGGGCCTGGTGCTACGGTGCTGCCCAAGAAGCCGGAGGAGACCCGTCCCACGGCGCCCGAACATAGGAAGTATGTAGGAACATGTGGGAGCTTCAATATGGTTTCCTCAGCAGTTTGTAGCTATGACTTTGGACAGGATAAGCCTTGTAGCAAACTTCGTCGTGGAAAGGCGAGGTCACTGTGGTCACTTGGTCGTGATTCTGCGAGCAACATCTCTGATGACCGTGCTCTGGAGGAGTTCACGGCAGGTGAAGAGGCAACTGAGATGATGTTCTTGCGTTTTTCGGCGGCGTCTTGCTGAGCTTGGGACTATTCTTATTTACTTTAAAGTAACATTGAATTCGGATTCGGAGTATCCAGCAATCATTTATACATTCGCGGCAGGTCACTCTGGGTTCAACTCAAGAATGATTCCATGACGGGCGACATGGGAAGAGTCGCAGCACAGCTTTCTGTCGAGGTCTTCATCGATGTTCCAATCGTGTCCTGTTTGTTAGATGGATGTTGTGATGTTTTACGAGATTCACAAAGATGCTCAACCCGCCCACACCGCCCTTTTCTCTAATGCGGCATTTTGGCGTTCGGCCGTCGCTACCTCCGCGCGTCCTGGGCGAGTGGGGAGTGCGCGGAGGTCGAAGGCCTCATCATCACCCGGCTGGATCCGATGGCGGGCGTCGTTGAGGCGGCTTAGTTTCAGAGGTGGATGGAAGACGAGGTGATAGCATCTCAGCATCTCAATCATCTCACAAACAAGGGCCCAAGGTGGGCCAAGGTGGCCCAAGCATATGGGACCACCGGCCGCCCCTCTGTTTTTCTGTTTCGAGAACACACGTTGGCAGGTCGTGATCCCCGGGGCCCAAGTGGTGGAGACCGGCCAGGGCCCCAGCGATCTGGTCCTGTGAGCCCTGCGAGTCGGGGAGTCAAGGAGTCGAGGAGCGAGTGCATCGGCCTGGTCGGTCCCGATCCATGACAGACGATGACAGATGCCAGGATTTGGTCACTAGTGTTCGTTAGTCGTTGGTATTGTATTTAATTCTGATTTTGTTTGTTTTGGTTTTCAGGTCCCATGGCCAAAAGGCACAGATTTGGCGAAAGCGTGGAAATCCACTGGCTCCAAGGTGTTTCGATGAGCACTCTGAAGGTGTCTCAGCAGCAAATGATCATCGATTTCATCGAATCATAACCTTCATATCGGGACTCAAAGTTTTCAACTAATTAAAGGCAAAGCGTGGAAGCTCACGGGTCATATATTATATTGGCCACATGATAGATAGATCGTAGACTCTATTCCGGCCTCCTTTGAACAACCTTTGACCCTTTTGCTCCAGAAACATAAGACGTGACACCAGCGATTTCCGACAGAAAGTGGGACATCTTCTTTCTGAACCGTGGGGAGCACCGGTGAACAGCAGTGCGGGTGCCAGGTGGGTGACGAAGTGAAGGGCACAGTGACACGCTCCATGGCCTTCGGTGCCGTGGCTAAAAATGAGTGGAAAGCCTGGACTATGCTGGGAAAGTATCACCTTTTTGGGAACAAAGAACCTGAAGATTCTGGGTGAGTTCTGTGCTATCCCTGTGGATGGGACTTGTGTGGACTAGTCGGACTAGTTGGGCGAATCAGGTTTGTTTTGATGCCAAATGAGTTGAGGGAAAGAGGGAGAGAGAGAGAGAGAGATGCTGAATAAGGCCACCCGTTTGCCACCTGTAATTAGGGTTAGTGCCAAGTCACTACGTAAGCAGCCATGTGGGGGGATGTGTTGACTAGTGGACTATATTGTATAACATGTTTTCACCTGAAGAGCGAACAGTACTTTGTGTCTTGGAGACGTTCTATCCACTTGCTTTAGACACGGGTTCTTAGAGTGTGGAAAGCGACTTTCATGGCAATCCATGAGGAATTGACTTTGATGATTTTGTCTCCAACTGCCATGTCGAGGTGTCTTCGTCGATATCGGGGCAGAGCGGGATGCCCTTTATGCCCGGTGCTTGTTTGCTCGCGCGGCCGGTTGACGTGGGCGAGCTTCTGGGATCAGGTCGCAGGATGAACTAGACGATGGGTCGTTTGGGGCTTACTGACATGTGTGGAGGAG